CTGTCTGGGCAACATTTCACCTGGCCCTAGCCTGTACCAGCTGCAGTATAGGGGACTTGGGCTCCCACTGGCGACCAGAGAATTTTTAGCCCGAAGGTTTCCTCCCCCCTGGATGGTCCCCCTCCCTTTCACCCACTGCATCCCACCCTGGCCTGGTCCCCCAGCCCCATCTCACCCTCCTTCCCTGACTTTTGAGTGAAGCCAATTAAACTCAAACCACTGGGTGGGAGGATGGAACATGCAGCTTCGATGGAATGGTACAGCAGGGACCAGTTTCACCGTTAATTTAAAATGCTAGAATTAATTAGGTAGTGTAAATGAAGAATTTAATAAGCACACTTTACAACTGCTTTTATTAAACATCGCAACCAAATGAGGGCAAACATCTCTGGTCTCCCTATATTTCCCTGTCTTGTTTCCACTAGTTCTCAGCAAATAACATTCTCCTCCCACCCCATCCCCCTCCTTAAGTTAAAAAAAAAGCCCACATAATTATAACTTTATGCCTGAATTATATTTCCTCTTTCAACCTGTTAGTTTCCTCTTTAAGCTCAGATGTTCCTGCATATCTCTGCTTGTGCTGGGGAAACAGCTCAGTGGAACCAAAGTTGTCAATTTGGGTTTTGTATACCAAATTAAAGGCTGTCTTGGAAGCTGTCACTACCATTCAGACCACCCCCCCCCATGCAGCGCCAAATTAGCATGCTCCCAGTCAAGGATCTGCTTGTTTCAACATGTGTCTTTGGAAAACAAGAACGCCATCATGAATAGGAATTTTGTGAAAACCATCCAGCTCCCCAGAGGGCCTAAAGGAACCCTGGAGAAGTGATTCCTAACCAAGCCCACCAAGAATTCAGCAGTAGTGGCGTGGGGGTCCTGGGTTAGAAGGGAAGCCTCCCTACATAATGACTTTCTAGAGGAGAATGAGGGAAGAAGCCAACGTTCGTTAACTTAGATTTGTTCAGGATCATTCTATATCCGGCCCCAAGGCTCTAGAGAAATGGACGCCATTACCGTTATTATTTTTATTATTATTAAGTGTTACGTCCTATCACCCTGAGCTGTCAAAGGCCTTGGCAAGCCACACCCCAAGCTGAAAAGGCTTTGAGCTCTAGCCTGGGAGCAGACCCACTGTGCGCTTTCTCTGAAACAGTGAGAGCCTGTACTCTTCTTGAGGACAGGGCAGGTTTCATTTTATTTCCCTCTCTATATCCCCAGAGCTCAGCATATTGCCTAGCACATAACATGGCCTTAATCAATGCTTATGAAATGAATGAATGACCCAGTTTAGTTCACTTTCATCCCCAAGTTGGAGTGGAACAGATTCTTCAGTCACAGCCACTTTGGAGAACTCTTTTTCAAATCACAGAGGAGCTGCGATATGGGTTTATGGAAGCAGGACCTGCCTTGATGGGATCCCAGTCAGTCAGTAAACATTTATTGAGCACCTACTGTCTACCAGGCACTACATTAAGCTCTGGGGATAAAAGAAAGCCATAAGACATGAAGTCACCTTCAAGGCGCTTACGGTCTAATGGACCACAGAACCCTCAAGGATGAAAATAAGATTATCCCATGTGAGGATGACTCGAGTTTTCCAAAACCAGCCCCATCTTTTTTTTTTTAAAACAAGATGGTTTAGGAAGAACCCTCAGTTAGGGACACCAGGCCATGACCCCATTCTGAGAGCCAACTGCCATTCTACCATGCCCGCCCTCCTGATTTTAATCTAATTCAACACTCACTGCTCTTCTCAAGATTTATTTGGGATAACAATACAGCCAATTGAGTTGCACCACTGTGCTGACATGAGTGAAGGGGACAAGATGACAGAGGGGTTAGCACAATATTTACAAAAGTAACACAGGGATGTGTGCAACACTAGGCCAGAGGAAGAGAGTGTGATCTGGGTCATTGGACACCCACTCTGGCAAAATCAGGGCTCTTTGGAGCATCAGCCACAGACACGCCCCTTCCCCTTGGGGCAGTCTGGAGAGGAGAGTGCCCTGAGCATTCCACAGGGTGGCCTCCTCCTGGTCTTATTAGCCGGACCACGGAAAGAGTGAGAGGAGAAGACTGAAAACACAGCAAGGATTGTGAGGAGTTTAAAGGGCAAAGAGAGGGAAAGTTTAGATTTGATCCAAGAGGTAACAGGGGACCATCAGAGTTTGCTGAGTAGAGGGGGTGACCTAGTCAAGCCTGGGCTTGAGGAAAATCACTTTGGCAGCGGACAGGAGTCGAGAGAGACGCGGGGCAGAAAGCCCGGTCAGAAGGTTACTGCAACAGTCCGCATGAGAGGCAACGAATTCAGGAATACTGAATTAGGATGGTGGCTGAGTGAAAGACAAGGAAATTTATACATGTACGTACATCTGTGTGTGTGTATACATATATACACATACATACACACACATACAGATATATACATATATATATATATACACACACACATATATATTCAAGAGATATGAGAAAGAAATTGCAAGATTGGGCAACGGACTTGAATGAATGAGAAAAGGGTGGGGATGAGCCCAGAGTGATGAACCTAGGTGACAGAGGATGGAGACGTCCTTGACAAATAACACGAAGTCTGGAAGCAGGGGAAGGACGAGTTCTCTTCTGGGCGGCTTGAGTCTGAGATGCCCACAAGGCATCCAGTCGAAGATCTCTGAGAGGCAGCTGGTGATGGCGAGTAATGCTGCCAAGTGTCTGGGCTACCTCGGGACCCTTCGTGAGGGAGTAAACTTGATTCTGTATCATTGCCTTAATAGAAGAGCAATAGATTTTGGAGGCAGAGGACCTGCCTGGGATTCAAACCCCACCTTTGCCAATTACTCTTTGTGTGACATCAACTAATTATAATCAATTGTGTGACCTCAATCAACCAACCAACAAGGATTTGCTGACTAAGCACTTATAGGAAACAGAGATAAACAAAACAAAAATAAATTTATCCCTGCCCTCCAGGAGCTTACATTCTATCAAAGGAAATACCATGTACACACTTAAGTGTGTACCAAATATAGGGATAGGGACTGGGCCTGTGAGTTCCTTGATACAGGGAACTCCCAGATGAAGGCATTTTTCTACCACTGCAGATAATCACATTCTCTGGGACTTATTATCTTAGAACACGGGTCAGTAAGCTTGGCCCAAGGGCCAAATCCAGCAGGCGAAGATGCTGTACAGCCCACGAGCTGAAAATGGTTTATATGCTTTAAAAAACAGTAAAATGTTATTTGAAAATATAAAAGCCTTCTTAGATCAGGCCTTACAAATACTGACACTCAGAGAGCTTAACTGACTTGCTATCAAGTGAGTGACCTTGTCGTCCCCACCATGTGACACTTCTGCCCTCTCCCAGACCGTCCCCCACGTCTGCAAAGTGCTCCTGCCTCCCCCCCCCCACCTCTTAGAGTATCCAGGTGCAGTGACCACTCCAGACAGTGAGACTGGGCTGCGGTCGTGGTCTGCTGTGCTCCGTCTTAGCTGCCTACAACACTAAAAAGGAAATACACACACACACACACACACACACGCGCGCGCGCGCGCGTTCACACAAATATACATATAGACATCGGAAACAGACACAGGAAACATCTCCTTTTAGGATATGGAGATATACATACATAAAAATACACACACACACATATATGCATGCAAATATACATATAGACATCGGAAATAGACATAGGAAACATCTCCTTTTAGGATATGGAGATATACATATATAAAAATACACACACACACACGTGCACACAAATATACATATAGACATCGGAAATAGACATAGGAAACATCTCCTTTTAGGATATGGAGATATACATATATAAAAATATATACACACACATATATACACACACACATATAAAACATATGTATAAAACATACATATATATATATATGAAGAGAGAAAGAAAACAGAGAAAAAGGAAAGGAAGAAGGGATAGAGGAAGGAAGGAAGCTTCCTCTGTGTGTGTGTGTGTGTGTGTGTGTGTGTGTGTGTGTGTGTGTGTGT